GTCAGTTCAGGGGTCCTGGGGGGGGGGACAGGTGAGTGTGGCACCTGGGGATATTCACACAGCTGAGTGTGGCACCTGGGGACAGTCACACACCCGAGTGTGGCACCTGGGGACAGTCACACACCCAAATGTGGCACCTGGGGACAGTCACACACCCGAGTGTGGCACCTAGGGACACTCCCACCCTTGAGTGTGGCACTTGGGGACACACAGACACAGCTGTGACACCTGGGGACACTCCCACACCCCCGAGTGTGACACCTGGGGACACTCCCACAGCCCCGAGTGCCACCCCTGTCCCCAGGTCCTACCTGAGGCAGGGGACAGGCAGGTCCCCCTTGGTGACGTGGAGGATGAACGGGGGGGGCTCCTCCAGCTCCAGCTCGCTCAGCTCTGCACGGGGGACAGGGGACACCGTGGGGACACCAGGGGGACACCAGGGGGACACCGTGGGGACACCGTGGGGACATGGTGCCAGCCCCTGGGGACACCGCGGGAGCCTCACCTGCGTCCCAGTCCTCCTGGCACGGGGGGGGCTGCCAGGCCTGGGGGGGTCCCCCGCCTGTCCTGGCCTTGTCCTCGGGGTCTGCGGGGACACAGGGGACAGCGGTGAGGGGACACACCTGGGCACACCTGGGGACACGTGGGGACACACCTGGGGGGACACTTGGGGACAGCGGTGAGGGGACACACTGGGCACAGCAAGGGGCACACCTGGGCACACCTGGGGACACACCTGGGTGGGCACTTGGGCACATCTGGGGACACCTAAGGACACACCTGGTCACACACCTGGGGGCAGCAGTGAAGGCACACCTGGGAACACCTGGGGGCACACCTGGGGGCAGCTCGAGCGGCAGTTTGTCGGGGCACGAGGTGACGTGGCCGCGCAGGAGCGCGCGCGGGACGCGGTGGCGCGCGTTGAAGGGACACGTGGCCAAGGTGCGCGACACCTGCGGGTTGTTCTGGGGACAGCGACACGGGGGGAGGGGCTGAGGGGGGGACACCGAGCCCCGTCCTGCAGCCCAAAGCTGAGCCCTCGGAGCCCGGACCCTCCCAGACCCCGGCCCCAATTCCCGCAGACCCCAGACCCCTGCAGACCCCAGACCCCAATTCCCACAGACCCCAGACCCCTGCAGATGCTAGACCCCAATTCCCGCAGACCCCAGACCCCAATTCCCGCAGACCCCAGACCCTCCCAGACCCCAACCCTAAACCCCTGCAGACCCCGGCTCCAATTCCCGCAGACCCCAGACCCCTGCAGACCCCAGACCCCAAACCCCTACAGACCCCGGCCCCAATTCCCGCAGACCGCAGACCCCTGCAGATCCTAGACCCCAAACCCCCGCAGACCCCAG